CTCCTCGGCGTCCTATAGGTGGCACCGTCCCTCCAGGAATGAGCTGCCAGCCTCGTCGCCTAGGCCAGCGTGCTGCCGCGGACAGACCCGGGCCGGGAGAAACATCGCTGCTGCAGTCTTCTCTTCTGTCCCCCCCGCCCGCACCTCCCATCAGTTCCGAACCCTTTTGCAGCCCGAACGGGGCCCTGTCATAGTCCTGAAGGGTCTTCCTCGCACTCTCCTATCTTCAAACACGCCTCGGAACAAGTCCGAACAAGTCTTTGGAGAGAGGCTCCCGGGACCCATACATCTCGCGCGTGTATTGTGCGTGGGTGGGGGCAAGGTGCCGCTGTCCCCCTCGTCTCCCCGCAGGCAAGCCCCTGGTGGTGGTGGAGAGCGACGTCTAGCCACAGCCAAGCCCGCTCCGGCCAAGCGCTCCCCGTTTTTCTGCAGGACTCCCTAACGCGCTCCGCGTGCACCCCCCTCGCCGGAGCGCGCGGCGGCGGCGGCGGCCCCTCCCTCCTCCCTCTCCCTCTACCTCCTCCAGCCAGTAAATCCGATCTAGGCCGATTCCTCTCACGTCAAACCACATGATCCCATAAAACATTCATCACCTTTCAGTCCCCCCGCCGGAGCAGCCGAAACCAGCCTCGCCAGCGCCGCCGTCCCTCCTTCTCCGAGCCCCGGATCGCGCGCCCTTTCCCAGCTGGGAAAGCCTCGCCACACAAAAAAACAACTACCCGCTCCTCCCTACCCTGACGCCGGGAGGGCAAGACCAGCAGAAGCGGAGCCGAGGCAAAGCAGGGCGGACGCGCTCGGTGGATCCAGCGCCTGCCTCTTTTTTCCTGCGTCGCAGCTGCCGGCGCGTTGGTGTGAGCCACAGCGCGCGGGGCGTCTCCTCCCTCAGTCCCTTCTGCCTGGATGCTGGCTCCTCCGGCCGCAGGAGCGCTCCGCCTCGCTAGCCCGATGAGCCAGGCGGGCATCGGGCTTGTCGCCGGTAAAGGCAGCAGCAGCATCCCCGTCGTCGTGCCCGCGCCCGGGTGGAAGTTTGCATGAGGCTCCGCTGCGTTTCTTTTGGGAAGGATTTGCCGCTGCGTCCCCCCCGTTGCCCTCCGAGCCGTGCCTTTCCCGAGCCCCTAAAATGAAGAGGGCGATCGCTGAAGGTAAGTGACGGCACGGAGGAAGAGACACAAAGGGGAATTTTTTTTTTTAGGTGGGGACACATACAAATATGGGCTGGAGAGGGGAGATGAAAGAGTGTGGCCGTCGGGGTTTCCTTTGCGCGCGGCGCGGGGAGAAGTTCCGAGGAGGCAACTTTGTCTGTCGCGGGCCGTGGAAGCTCTGGGAAGGAGGGGGGACGGCGGGGGCCAACTTCGAGGGAGGGGGGAGCCGTCTAACTTAAGGCGAGGGGCGTCGGGGAGAAGCGTTTGATAACTGTGCCCTTTTCAAAGAGGCAGGCTACGGAGACTTGCCATCGCCTGCTGAAAGTCCGGAGAGGATAGACGGTGTGTTTGTGTCTTTTCTTTGGGGGGGGGGTGATGGCGGGACCTACCCCGCCCTTGAAGGACCTTTCTTCTCCCCCCCCCTTCCCCCGCTCCGCTTGGCGCAGAATTCCTCCCTGGACGTGTGTTTGTGTGTAGAGGAGAATCTAGTTCGACGTTGGCGCGTTTACAAGGAATGTAGACCGGACGGCGCGTTGCGCCTGGATTTGAGCGCGCGGAGCGGGGGATTATTATCATCGTCTTGCTGTCTTCCCTCCTCCATGCCAGGCTTTTGTGCTATTGCAGGGGGGAGTGTCTGCCGGGGAAAATGTGTCTGTCGGGGAGAAAGAACTCCATCTCAATCATTTTCAGCTCGGACCCCAAAGCAGGTTGAGGGGAGGGGAGGGGAGGTGGAATAGGTGGCATGAGGTGCAGTCAAAGGCCTCCAATGAAAGGAAATGCTGTTTAGCGTGTGTGTCCAAAATAGCCCTTTTTGCTAGTCGCCAGTTTGGGGTAGCTTGGCTGTCAGAGAAACAACATCTCCCCCAGGTGGAGAGAGAGGAAAGGGTTAGCATTTACCCCCCTCAAAAATAGCTTTGGAGATGCAAAAGTTCCGTGTTCCTGGCTTGCCAGTTCAGATCCCACCTCCTTCCCCCGCTTGAAGGGGCTTTCTTTAGGTCGGGCCCCGTATCTTTCATGGGCTTCTCAAGAGCGCCCCCCAGAGGCCCTGACGGTCTGCGGCTCCAGCAGGTGTCTGCAGAGGCGCTCTTGCCTGGCCAGCGTGGAAAGACGGGGGCGGGCAGTGGTCCCTCCGCGTGCCCCCCCCGCCCCAGCGGTGCATTTCCTCGGCGTGTGGATGCGGGAGGCAATCTTTCGCTCCTTTCCTGTGTCGAACAGGGGGAACTTTATGATGGGAGGTGTTGTTAGTGGAAAAGACCCCATGGCCATTTTAGGAGTATTGCCACCACCACCCAGAGCATCAAGTATTTTAGCAGCATTTCCTTCTCTGGCAGGAGACAGCTGCGCTGCAAGCTCCATGGAGTTGGCCAAAGTTTCCCAGAGCTTGTCTGAACACCGCAGGGATAACGTGACATTCCATCTAGGCAGGAGCAATCTGGTTAGACAGAGCTGTTAATGGGAGTGTGCATTTATAATAGGTTGTGTGTGTCACCTCCGGGATATTTCGCAACTAAAACAATATATATTTGGTCCTTAGAACACCTGCTTTGCATACAGGTTTTGGGTTCAAGCCTCAGGACTGGGAATGAATGCCCCCTGCCTGAAACCCCAGAGAGCCACTGCCAGTCCATGTAGACAGATGCATCTATGATCTGATTCTGTTTAAGGCAGTTTTCTGTGTTTGGTGGTGGAATTGCCTGTTTTGCACCCAGGAGGTCCCAGGTCCAATATCCACCATATCCAGATAGGGCTAGGAACGTCCCCTGCTTGAAACCCCGGATAGCTGCTGCCAGTCAGTGTTGGGAATACTGAGCTAGATGGCCTGGCTCTGTTTAAGGCGGCTTTCTATGTTTGTAGCTCAGTGGTGGGAGTGCCTCTTACGCATATGGAAGGTTCAATTGGCCCCAAGGCATCTCCAGGTTGGGTCTGAGATTATCCCCTGTCTGAAATTCTGGGCAACCACTGTTAGCTGGACCAATGACCTGATTCAGGATAAGGCAGATGTACAATACCTTCCAGGGGGCATGAAGTATTCTTTTCTTGGGGGTGGGGAATGTTCTTCACCCTCAAAAGCCACCAAAGCTCTTTGTTAGAAGGAAAAGGATGAATGGGGGGGTGGGGAAGAGGGGATTATGGCATCTCATCCTCCTCCAGCCCCTGCAGATCTGATCTCCACTGTGATGGTCCTGGGAAAAATGGTGGGGTGAGGAAGGAAAAAGGGAGTGGGGTGTCACTGTTGGTGTAATGAGCAGGGCTGGCCCAAAGCATCACTAGCTAATTGCTCCTCTGCTCAGCTTCATTTAAAAAAAGGGGGGGGGGAATCAAGGCGCTAAACTGGATTAAGGCTTTGTGTGTGAAATTACATGCAAAGTGAGGAAATCATGTTCTGTAGGTTAGGCGTCGCTTTCGTTCCACTGGGTGATGATGCCCCCCGATGTAATCGGCGTGGAAGGAAGCTGGCTTTCGGCAGGGAACTGTGTGCGCGCGGGGTTGCCAGTTGCAGGGAGATGAGGTCTTGTTCCAGGTCTGCTCAAATACCTGTGCTCCGTGGGGATCAGATGGCTGTGGAGGCAGCACTGCCCGGAGGAGAGGCGGCGGCTGGCCACAGGGGGCAGGTTTTGGATGCCTGGAATGGTGGCATAATGGGGACCACAAGGCAGCATTTGCAGCAAGTTTGCCTGGACGAGCTCCAGTGAAATGAATATGAGCTACCAAGCAGCCCAGGAGTTTCGTTTGGACGGGTCTTGCAGTGCTCAGAAGCCAAGAAAGAACTGTGACACTGTTTATTTACCGATCACATTTATATCTCACCATTCCTCCAAGGAGCTCAAGGTGGTCCTCTTCCTCTTCATTTTATCCCTACAACAACCCTGTGAAGTTGGTTGGGCTGAAAGACAGGGACTGACCCAGGGCCTTCCAGTGAGTTTCATAGCTGAACAAGGATTTGAACCCCGGTCTGATACTCTAATCACTGGACTAAACTCCCTCTCTCCATATATAATGGAACATATATAATGGGAAATGTGGTCGTTGTTGTTGTTATATTCAATTTTCATATAAATGATCTCTTCCCCCTGCCCAAAAAGAATACATCAAAAAGGTTTCAAAGCAGATGAAAAGTCACCACAGAGGGAGCCAGAGGGTTAACTTCAAGCAGAGAGTTCCACAGGCCCTTCTGTATGTTCCCACCAACAGTACTTGATAGGTTGATTCAATTGGGGGGGGGGGAGGTTGTCCTGGCAGGCTCGTTTTACAGATTAAAAGGCCCTTGTTAGCACTATTGTTAAATCGCCCCTGAAGGAGAAGCAGAAACGCAAACAGGGCTGTGCTGACACCTATATTCCACTAGAGCTTGAAAGAAGAGCACAGAATTCATCCTCCTGAGATTCATTTTTAAAATGCACGAAGAAGTTTCTGCTCCTTGCAGGAGCAACGACATCCTTGTGTGGGGGCAGTTCCAGGTGGAATCTTGTTGCCTTCCTCCAATTAGTAGCAGAACCAAAATAAAGCATTTACAAAGTAGTAAAAAGTACAGAATCAATTATTATACTAAATAAGTTTTGTTTTACTGCAGGTGTTCTTTCTCCTGTGCCATGCCTTTATTTCAGGTGTGCTGTAGCAATGCATGGTATAAACCACAGCAGTTAAATAAAAATGCACTGCAGTGGGCGGCAAAAAGGTTCACAGTTGTCTCAATAGCTGGTGCAAAAGCATTTATTACATTTATCTCCCACCTTTTTCTCCTAGGTGGCAGCGTACATGGCTGTCCCTCTCCTTTTTGTAATCCGCACAACAACCCTGCGAGGTGGGTTAGGCTGAGAGGGGCAGTGACTGGCCCAAGATCACACCTAGTGAGCTTACTGGTAGCATGGGGATTCGAACCGTGGTCTCCAAGGTCTTAGTCTGACACTCTAACCACTAAATCACACTGCCTCTTTGGGACTCCCTCCTTAGGGAAATCCACCTTGAGCTCTTCTGATTGATTCCTGCCACCAGAATCAGGCCTTTCTCCTGTTTATGGTCATCCACGGGAATGATTTGTTGCAATACAGTGATACCTCAGGTTACATACGCTTCAGGTTACAGATGCTTCAGGTTACAGACTCCGCTAACCCAGAACCAGGTTAAGAACTTTGCTTCAGAATGAGAACAGAAATCATGCGGCGGCAGCAGGAGGCCCCATTAGCTAAAGTGGTGCCTCAGGTTAAGAACAGTTTCAGGCTAAGAACGGACCTCCAGAACAAATTAAGTTCTTAACCTGAGATACCACCGTACTACTTTCCTTTCCTTTCCCCCTCCTCCAGATTTGATTTCTTTTTCTGTGTTTGCGTGTGAAGCTCCTTCGTTTGGATGTTTAGATTTATGACACAGCATCCTTTTTACTTGTGGGGAATGGGTTATTTTGGGGAGGTGACTTATATATAAGCACTTTAAGGCTCCTTGCTACTGTACTTGATCTGTTGTTGCTTCCTGCAACTGGTTTTGATGCTGCTGTTGTGCTCTCATTGCCTCTAACTTTTCCAGAGCCAAAATTAACATTTTAATGGAAAGGGGCCATGGAAATAAATAAGAGAGAAAGAAAGAAAAGAGAGAGAGAGAGAGAGAAAGAGAGAGAATACAAAGGGGAAAGATGAACAAGGTGTGAAACAGACCCCTACATCTTAGATCAGTGATTCCTGAAGTGGGGGCTACTTCCCCCTGGAGGTGGTGGATTAGGGGGTGCTAAGAGGAAAGTGGGTAGCAGGGGGATGCTGGAGATGTAAACGACTATCAGACTTTGAAAAGCTGGTACCGCTGGATCAAGTTCATAAATTTTGTTGGCTTTGTTGAAGAAGTAGTTTTAATTGGATTTTGATTAAATGTGCAATTAATTGTCACTGTTTTGAATTTTATTGTGTTATTATCTCCCTTAGTGGGTTGTGCAAACTGCTATTCTGAATACAGTAGTACCTTGGTTCTCAAATGCCTTGGTACTCAAACAACTTGGAACCGAAACACTGCAAACCTGGCCCGGAAGTAAGTGTTCGGGTTTGCGAACTTTTTTTGGAAGCCGAACATGCTCCATTTTGAGTGCCACACTTCTATTTTGAGTTTTATGCTGAGGTCTGTCTGTTTTTGCTATTTATTTAGCATTTTTGTTTTTGCGGCTTTTTTGTTTTGTTTTTGTGACTGTGTGGAACCCCGTTCAGCTACTGACTGATTTATTGTGTGACTGCAGTACATTGTTTATTGCTTTCATTTTATGGATCAGTGGTCTCGTTAGATAGTAAAATTCATGTTAAATTGCTCTTTTAGGGACTGTTTTTAAAAGTCTGGAACGAATTAATCCGTTTTGCATTACTTTCTATGGGAAAGCGTGCCTTGGTTTTGGAACGCTTTGGTTTTGGAACAGACTTCCGGAATGGATTAAGTTTGAGAACCAAGGTACCACTGTAATGGTTTTTATGGGGTGAAGTAGGGGGCACTGGGCATGATTTCATGGGACCAAGGGCAACCCAAAATGTTTGAGAACCGCTGTTTCAGGTCATCAGCTATAACTGCTGTGGTGATGTCCCACTATTTCATTCCAACTACCTCCTCCCTTCTCCTGCAAGTGAATTTTTTTTGGGGGGGGGCAGACTGACTTATTTGGAGAGAAAAGGTAGTTCTCGTGAATGGTAGCACCATCAACCTGCCCAGATGTTCTGCTGCTCTGGAGAGTGTGGGCTTCTGTCTAGTCTCTATTGGCTGTTTTTGTTTTGTTTTTTAAATATACGGTAGCAAGCAAGAAAGAAAAAACACTGGGGAGAAAAGGTTGGCTGCTGAGCTACAGTTTCAGATGGGAGCCTACAGAGGTTTTCTGACATTCAGCAAGCCATGCATTCTGCAAGATGGTGATCACACCCCAGATGTGAGGCTCTGTCAAACAGAACATCTGTTCACTCTATGGCTTCTCCTAAAGGAATATATTCTTCTACAGATCCCCTCTGGTGGGATTAGGAACTGAGAAAAAAACCTACAGGCCAAGGATGGGGAACCTGTGGCCTGCCAGATGCTGCTAGAGTATTATTAGCAGTACTGTATTAGTATTATTACTTGTGATCAGTAACTTGTCCGTAAAGAGTGACTCAAAGTGACTTTTCAGAATGATACAAATATTAAAACCCTTTGCTAGTTGCCCTTTCTCCCACCAGTGTTAGAAATTAGCCAGGCGCCAGGCACGTTTTGTGACTGGCATGGGTCCAATTGTGACCATGTTGATGTCACACTGGGGACTGACATCTCCACCTGGGTGGCACCTCCGGTTTTCTTATGCAGGCAAGCAGAAGAGCTTATTTATTGCACTTATATCCCACCTTTTTCTTCAAAGACTACATGGCTCACTCCTCAGTTAATCCCTACAATGGCCCTGTGAGGTTGTGATTGGCCCAAGGTCACCCAGTGAGCTTCATGACTGAGTCAGGATTTGAACCCTGATCTCCCAGGTCCTAGTCCAACACTGTAACCACTACACCACACTGCCTTCCTAGAGTATTTCTGCCAAGGGGCAGCTATATAAGTAGGTAAATAAATATGGGGAAAGCAAAAGGTCACTTAGAGAAGGATCTGAAATATTTTCCTTTAATCTTGAATTTGTTTTATTCTGGATTGTTTTATTCAATGTGTTAATGTGTTGTAAACCGCTTTGAGAGTTTTTCTTTAAAATATAAAGTAGTGTAGGAATGGAATTAATAATAATAATAATAATAATAATAATAATAATAATAATAAACCTTGTTGGTGGAAAAATGACACCTAGACATTCCATTTAGTGACCAAAGCCCAGGTTTAAGGTGCATTTTGGTGATGAGCGGGTAGTGCTGTGGTCTAAATCACTGAGCCTCCTGAGCTTGCCGATCAGAAGGTTGGTGGTTCGAATCCCCGCGACGGGGTGAGCTCCCATTGCTCTGTCCCAGCTCCTGCCAACCTAGCAGTTCAAAAGCATGCCAGTGCAAGTAGATAAATAGGTACCACTCCGGCAGGAAGGTAAGTGCACTCTGGCTTCTGTCACAGTGTTCCGTTGTACCAGAAGCGGTTTAGTCCTGCTGGCCACATGACCCGGAAAGCTGTCTGTGGACAAACGCTGGCTCCCTTGGCCTGAAAGTGAGATGAGTGCTGCAACCCCATAGTCGCCTTTGACTGGACTTAACTGTCCAGGGGTCCTTTACCCTTTTTACCTATATTTGAGTTTCTAACACTGCACCACACACATGAAGGATCATGGCTTACTGTTGGAAGCATCAGCCTTGCATGCAGGTCAGGATGGGAGAGACTTCCTCTCTGAAACCCTGGAGAGTCACTGCCAGTCAGTGCAGCCAACACTGAAGTTGGTCCTTTGTTGGATCCCTCTGCTGGCTTTTTTTCTTAAGAACTGCTGATTATCCTGAGTGGTGCTGTGCGTTTTGTTGCATTTCATGTTTTATGCATCGTGAAACCACCTTGAGCGTCCTCTGTGGACTGAAACGGAGAACGGAAGTGCTTTAACTGACTATGTTTGTTGCTGGAGAAGTGGAGTTTGGGCACTTGGCTTGATCTACCTTCTTGGACCCAGTGGCTCTCCGCCAGATCTAGTGGCTGACCGAAGGTCATATGAAGAGGGGTGTTTTAGAAAACTGGCTGTGCTCGGCCCAATTCAAGATGTTTTGATGAGCATATAAAACTTGGGACCTGAGTAACTCCTGTCTGGACTACTGTAATGCACTGTAAGTGCCTTTGCAGATGATTTGGCGACTGCGGCTAGTGCCAAATGTGGGAATGTTCAGGGAGGCAGGAGAGAATATATTGTTTATTAATATCCTTCCTAACTTGTGCTCGCAAGTTCTATAACTTAGCAGACTTTTACATTCCCCTTTTAAATACACATCAGATAGCTGGTTGCAGGATTGTGTAAGCCTCTCAGTATTAGATTCCTGGTAATTTCCCTTATACCCCTCTTAAAAGAATAAACACGCCACAATCTTGTGTGAAGTATATAAAAGAAGTTTACTCACATCATCAGTTCACAGTTGGATCCCTGAAGGCAGACTTAGTTACAAAGTATATACATGTGAATTTATCCCATATGGGGATAATCCCAGTGTCCTCTGTTGGCTGGAAGCCAACAGAGCATCTCTAGCTAAAAAGCTGCTGCTCTAACGACAGAGGAAGTCAAAGAGAGGAAGTGTGCTGCGTGCCTTGCCCTTTTGTTACCTGGGCAGGTAAGGCCATGCCCACCTCTAGTTGCATGCAAAGGAAATATGTCCCAGCCAGGAGGAAACAGGAAGTTTTTGACTGGCTGGACCAAACATTCCCCTACATGTCCACTCTAGGAAAACAAGGAATGTTGTACTTGACTGCTACTTGTGTATTACATGCAACAGAATGCAACTGATAGGCTGGCAATTGAGGTAGCTCAATGGGGCCATGCGCCACCTGTCCTGAAAGCACTGCCCTGGCTGCCAGTGAGCTACAGGAGCATATTCAAGGTGCTAATACAAACATATAAGACCCTAAATGGCTTAGGACCCAAGTATTCTAAAATAATGCCTTCCCTAGTACCAACCTTCAGGAGAAAAGATGGAATATAAATTGAAATCATCATCATCATCATCATCATCATCATGTGACACGCAGCTGGTTTCTGTGCATGATCAGAAATTATTATTATTATTTATTGAATTTATATACCGCCCTATACCCAGGGGGGTCTCAGGGCGGTTCACAGAATAAAATCAAGATATAAAACCACATATACCTAATAAAAAGAAAACAACAGAACAATAGCCCCTCCCCCAAGAACGCATCTTAAAAGAGCATAGGATGTCAATCAGGTCAACCAAAGGCCTGGTTGAAAAGGAATGTTTTGGCCTGGCGCCTAAAGGTGTATAATGAAGGTGCCAGGCAAACTTCCCTGGGTAGAGCATTCCACAGACAGG